CAGGCGTGATGGCAGGTTCCTGTAATCCCAGCTACTTGGGAGGCTGAGGCAGGAGATGGATTCGGGAGGCAGAGGTTGCAGTGAGCCAAGATTGCGTCACTGCATTCCAGCCTGGGTGACAGAGCGAGATTCCATCTCAAAAAAAAAAAAAAAAAAAAAAAGGAGAAAGGTGGTTAAGACATTGCTTAACTTTAGACTTTTACATTCAAAATAATTGGGAAATTTCAAGGACAACTATTAACAGAACATAATTAGAATGTTTTAAGTCCCGGCCAGGCGCCGTGGCTCACACCTGTAATCCCAGCACTTTGGGAGGCTGAGGTGGGGAGATCACAAGGTCAGGAGATCGAGACCATCTTGGCCAACATGGTGAAACCCCATCTCTACTAAAATACAAAAAATTAGCCAGGCATGATGGCGTACACCTGTAGTCCCAGCTGCTCAGGAGGCTGAGGCAGGAGAATTGCTTAAACCTGGGAGGTGGAGATTGCAGTGAGCCAAGATTGCGCCACTGCACTCCAGCCTGGTGACAGGGTGTGACCCCCTCTAAAAAAAAAAAAAAAAAAAGAATGTTTAAATCCCCAATAAGTACAAAGAAGAAACAAGAAGAAAAAAAACAACAAAATCTGTAATCAAAAAAAAAGGCAGGCAAGCAAAAAGCATTAAAAAACTGAGTAGAAATTTAAGAGAAGGAAGTTCATATAAAAATAATTCATCTGGGGCGGTGGCTCATGCCTGTAATCCCAGCATTTGGCAGGCTGAGGCGGGCGGATCATCTGAGGTCAGGAGTTTGAGACCAGCCTGACCAAAGTGGTGAAACCCTGTCTCTAGTAAAATGCAAAATTAGCGGGGTGCGGTGGTACCTGCCTGTGGTCCTAACTACTCAGGAGGGTGAGGCAGAAGAATCATTTGAACCTAGGAGGTAGAGATCACACCACTGCACTCCAGCCTGGGTGACAGAGTGAGACTCCATCTGAAAAAAAAGGCTTCAGGTCAAATCAGGGCTACCTGGTCTGGGAGAGGCACACCTGTAACTGCTGATGCCACCATAACCCTCAAAGGGTCTCCAGAAGCTTCCACCGACTGCTGTTGGCTGCACCAGGCAGTGAGTATCAATGCATTTAACATCACAAAACCTGGCAGGCAGACGGCGGTGGATTGTCCGAGGGCTGCTGATCAGACAGTGGAGGCCCAGTGCGTCTGTGACCAGACCACAGAGCAAGTAGCCAGGGCTGACAGTGGACCCTGGGCTGCTGCAGGTGCCCCTGAGCTGTACCCTTGACTGCACTCTGCAGGTGGAGGGATCCACGCAGCCTGGTGCTGATTTGGCCTGGCCCTGGTCCATGCACGTCCTGCGTGACACAGTGCTGTCTGCCAGCCTGGGAGGCTTCTCACCTGTCTGTGTCTGAGCCAGGACCTGGGAGTGTCAGGGCTGGGGAAAGAAAGGAAACTCAAGGCTGGGGTCAAGAAGAGGGGGGCCGTTCTGCTGTTCAGCCCCACTCCCCCAAACCTGGCCTTCAGCTCTTTGCAAATGAAAGGGGACAAGGCCAAAGCAGGGTTCCTTATGCCAGTTTGCTTCTGCCTTAAAAAACCAAACAACTGGAAATCTTTTCCGCAAGCGTAAGCACTGAGTTTGGACAGAGTGGGCGTTTCCTTCTGAAACAGAAGACTAGGCCCCCGTGGACAAAAAGACCCTGAACCCTGTCTCCATCCGTGCTGGGGGACTGAATGAGCAGGCTCACCCCGTTGTCATCCTGCCTGTAGCTGTGGGGCCCCAGATCTTAGGAGTTGCTGGGTACTTCCGGACAGTGAGGTCTGAGCTGCCTGCAGGTTCCTGATTTGGGTGGGTGCTCCGGGGCTGGGCAGGAGGTGCCCACTAGGAAGCTGCTACTCTAATGAGTGAGCTTTTCAATGAAATGAACAGCATTAGCAAAATCATGTTCCTAATCATTCCTCCTATAGCGGCCCCAATTTTGCTAACTGCTACCATTTTATGATGCATAAGTAGGGGAATGCATTTTAAAAATTGTGGTAAAACCTATGTAGCATATTATAAAATTGACCATTTTATTTATTTAGTATTATTATTATTATTATTATTTATTTTTATTTTTTGAGACGGAGTTTCGCTCTTGTTACCCAGGCTGGAGTGCAATGGCGCAATCTCGGCTCACCGCAACCTCCGCCTCCTGGGTTCAGGCAATTCTCCTGCCTCAGCCTCCTGAGTAGCTGGGACTACAGGCACGCGCCACCATGCCCAGCTAATTTTTTGTAGTTTTAGTAGAGACGGGGTTTCACCATGTTGACCAGGATGGTCTTGATCTCTTGACCTTGTGATCCACCCGCCTCGGCCTCCCAAAGTGCTGGGATTACAGGCTTGAGCCACCGCGCCCAGCCTATTTTTTAAATTAGTTTTTTAAGACAGGGTCTGGCTCTGTCACCCAGACTGGAGTTCGATGGTGTGATCTTGGCCCACTGCCACCTCCGCCTCCCAGGTTCAAGCAATTCTCCTGCCTCAGTCTCCCGAGTAGCTGGGATTACAGGCACACACCACCACGCCCAGCTAATTTTTATATTTTTAGTAGAGATGAGGTTTCACCATGTTGACCAGGATGGTCTCGATCTCTTGACCTCGTGATCCACCCGCCTCGGCCTCCCAAAGTGCTGGGATTACAGGCTTGAGCCACCGCGCCCGGCCTATTATTATTTTTTGAGATGGAGTCTTGCTCTGTCGCCCGGGCTGGAGTGCAGTGGCACAATCTTGGTTCACTGCAATCTCTGCCTCCCGGGTTCAAGCAATTCTCCTGCCTCAGCCTCCCGAGTAGCTGGGACTACAGGTGCCTGCCACCACGCCTGGCTAATTTTTGTATTTTTAGTTACAGACAGGGTTTCACCATATTCGTGAGGCTGGTCTTGAACTCCTGACCTCGTGATTCGCCTGCCTCAGTCTCCCAAAGTGCTGTGATTATAGGCATGAGCCACCACACCCAGCCTATTTTTTAAATTAGTTTTTTAAGACAGGGTCTGGCTCTGTCACCCAGACTGGAGTTCGATGGTGTGATCTTGGCCCACTGCCACCTCCGCCTCCCAGGTTCAAGCAATTCTCCTGCCTCAGTCTCCCGAGTAGCTGGGATTACAGGCACACACCACCACGCCCAGCTAATTTTTATATTTTTAGTAGAGATGAAGTTTCACCATGTTGGCCAGGCTGGTTTCGAACTCCTGACCTCAAGTGATCCACTGTACCCGGCCAAAATAGACCATTTAAATCATTTATAAGTGCATAGCTCAGGGGCATTAGGTCCATTCAAGGTGGTGTGCAGCCTTGACCAGCACCCATCTTCAGAGCTCTTTTCATCTTGCAAAACTGAAACTTCATGTGCAGGAAACATCAGCTTTCCGTTCCTCTTTCCCCCAGCCCCTGGCACCCTCCATTCTTCTTTCTGTCTCTGAATTTGACAACGCTAGGGACTTCACATAAGGAGAATAACACAGGATGTGTCTCTTTTGTGGCTGGCTTATTTCACTCAAGGCTGATCCGTGTTGTAGTCTGTGTTGGAATGTCCTTCCTTCTTAAGGCTGAGGAACATTCCATTGTACGTATATAGCATGCTTTGTTTATCCATTTATCTGTCATTGGACACTTGGACTGCTCCCACCTTTCAGCTATTGTGATTAGTTCTAGGAGCAGGAATGCCTTTTTTTAGAGGTAGGGTCTTGTTGTGTTGGCCAGGATCATGTCAAACTCCTGGAGTCAAGTGATCTGCCTGCCTTGGCCTCCCAAAGTGCTCGGATTACAGGTGTGAGCCACCGCGTCTGGGAGTGTTTTTGTTTTGTTTTGTTTTGTTTTTTTGAGACAGAGTCTTGCTCTGTCACCCAGGCTGGAGTGCAGTGGCACAATCTCAGCTCACCGCAACCTCTACCTCCCGGGTTTAAGCAGTTCTCCTGCCTCAGCCTCCCAAGTAGCTGGGACTACAGGCACCTGCCATTACACCCTGCTAATTTTTGTATTTTTTTTTTTTTTTTGAGACGGAGTTTTGCTGTTGTTGCCCAGGCTGGAGTGCAATGGCACGATCTCGGCTCACCGCAACCTCCGCCTCCTGGGTTCAAGCAATTCTCCGGCCTCAGCCTCCTGAGTAGCTGGGACTACAGGCATGTACCATCATGCCCAGCTAATTTTTGTATTTTTAGTAGAGACGAGGTTTCACCTTGTTGACCAGGATGGTCTCGATCTCTTGACCTTGTGATCCACCCGCCTCGGCCTCCCAAAGTGCTGGGATTACAGGCTTGAGCCACCGCGCCCGGCCTTAATTTTTGTATTTTTAGTAGAGATGAGGATTTTACTGTGTTGGCCAGGCTGGTCTCAAACTCCTGACCTTGTGATCTACCCTCCTTAGCCTCCCAAAGTGCTGGGATTACAGGTGGGAGCCACCACGCCCAGCCAGGACTGGATTTTTAACAGTAGCTTGTTCCTGGGAGTACCCGCTGTATATGTAGGTGAGCGGAAGGCGCAGTGGCTGCAGGGTGTCCTGAGCTTCCCTGTTAACAGGTACCTTGGTGGAAACAGGTGCCTGGGTCCCAGGCCCCATCACTTGGCCAAATGTCCTTAGGAAAATGTGGCCTCGCTCTCCACCCCCAGCCCACCACTTTGCTTTCTGTATCCACAGGGAGGGGTTTCATGGAAAGGTTGTCTGTGAACCTGTAGGGGGCCCTGTACCCTGGAGTGGGTCCCAGATGCCACTGTACCCACCGCCACGTGGGAGTGTGGGTCTGTATGTCTCCAGAGCAACTTGGGCCAGGCGGGCCACTCTCTTCTGTCTGAGGGTTATGATTGTAACAGCAGCGATGATGACCCCTGCCCCCAGAATATCAAAGGGGACTGGGTGGTCTTCTGGGTCCGTTCCATCCTCAGGGCCCGGGACAGCCCCTGGCCTGCGAGGGGGACACAGAAAGCCTTGCTTGAGTGACCAAGTGAGTGAACTGGCCTTCCCTGTCCTCAGGTCCAGCTGGGAGCTCCCCGACCTCCAGGAGGGCAAGATCCAAGCCATCAGTGACTCGGACGGGGTGAACTACCCCTGGTACGGCAACACCACGGAGACCTGCACCATCGTGGGCCCCACCAAGAGGGACTCCAAGTTCATTATCAGCATGAACGACAACTTTTACCCCAGCGTCACGTGGGCCGTGCCCATCAGCGAAAGCAACGTGGCCAAGCTCACCAACATCCACCGGGACCAGAGCTTCACCACCTGGTTGGTGGCCACCAACACGTCCACCAACGACATGATCATCCTGCAGACGCTGCACTGGCGCATGCAGCTCAGCATCGAGGTCAACCCCAACCGGCCCCTGGGCCAGCGCGCCCGGCTGCGGGAGCCCATCGCCCAGGACCAGCCCAAAATCCTGAGCAAGAACGAGCCCATCCCACCCAGTGCCCTGGTCAAGCCCAATGCCAACGACGCTCAGGTCCTCATGTGGCGGCCCAAGTACGGGCAGCCGCTGGTGGTGATCCCACCCAAGCACCGGTGACAGCCAGGGCCACCTGCCAGGTTAGACTTGTGAATAATAATACCACTGAAAACAAAACGCAGACGTTCTCTTCAGTCATTCAGCAAGATACAACCATTCTACCTTCTCCAGCGGGCGGGTCTCACCGTGCTGATGCCCCCGGGAAGGCCTCCCCGGCTCTCGGCATCTGCTTCCTTTCAGGGAGAGGGGAGACCCAAGCAGGACAGACAGACCCCACGTGTGCCCTCAGGGTCACCTCTGGTCTCCTTTCCTCTCCTTTTTCTCACAGTTTCAGTCGCTCACTTGTCACAGATTCCCTGAAACACTGCTTTTTCCAGTTTTTTTAAACCTCTTCTTTTGGGGGTTCAGGGGCAGGAGGAGGAGGAGCTGATCAGGAGGGAGGCCCCAGCTCCGATCAAAGAGACAGATCCGCACTGCTGCCGATTTGTGGCCCTGGCCGGCCTTCCCCCCAGGTCCCCGTCCCCCATCATGCGGCCTTATGTAGACTTGCTTTGCCAAACTTTTGCCTTAAGCTGAATTTCAAGGAAGAAAATGAATCGGAGACAGAAAGCAGGATTTCTTTTCTACCAGACTTTTCCTCTTCTGCCAGAGGTGGAGGGAGGGGTGGGGTCGCCTGTGAGGTTCTCTTGAGACCTTCGTCCCGTTGTCTTGGGAGAAGGGTCGGGAGGGGCATTTAGAGCTGAAACCAGCTGCTCACTCTTTCTTTTTGGCAGAAACAAAACCACAGGCAGCCTCTGCCTGAACAGCCCCTTCTCTCCCCCACCCCTAGGTCGCATCCCCCACCTACGGAGAGGGGCTGTGATCTCTGGTGGGGTGGCCCCGCCAACGGCCTGGCCTTTTCTCCCCTCTCCTTTCCCAGCAGCCTTAACTTCCCATGGGCGGCTCCAGGAGAGGGGGAGGCTCCTGTGAGCCCAGGGGATTTTCACCCTCACAGTCCTCAGGACCTACCCCCAGTTGGGTCCCTGGTCCATCCCTCCAGGTATTTGGCTTTATCTTTCTCCATCCACACTGGTCCCCGGTGCCTGGGGGCTGGTCACCCGTACCACCAAGACACAGTCTCACTGTTAGTCTCAAAGGTAAGGAAGGCATTCACGTCCCCTCTTGCAGGGATTTTAAGACTTGAATGGGGCAGGCCCCGGCCCCTATGGCTGGCTGGGCTCTAGTGTACTGTAAAGGGGCCAAGACAGGGCTTGATCTCAGGGGGCACCCGTCCCAGGTCCTCGGGGCAGGGGGAGGGTGCAGTCAGGTTCTGCCACAGTGATGAGGTGGGAGGTACCCAAGCTATAGGGCAGTCTTGGGAGGCCATCAGCCGAGCCTCTGCCTCCTGTCCTGGTCAAGGGCTGGGAGGGCTGAGTTGGCCCATGGTTGAGAGGGGTCAGAGCCACTCTGGAGGCTGGGATGGCACAGCAGACAGCGTCAGGTGAGGACAGACATTGGGAAGCCCATCCCTGGGACCTGCTCTCCCTCGGTCCCAGGCCTCGGGAGCCTCAGGCCATGCTTAGTCCTGACCCATTGTGCCAGGGTTCTAAGTAGCTGCTGGCAGGGGCTAACGGGACATTCTGCTGAAGCCACGTTCCTTCCAGCTTGCCAAACCCACAGCTACCCCCCACCCCGCCCCGGGACCTGCTCTCAGCCTAATAATTATCAAGCACAGAAAACCGTCCATTTAGAAAAATAATCCATTTCTGCTGCAGATGAGCCACTTGTAGGAGTCTCTGTGACGGCGTGGGACAGTGTGGGCACCGAGGTTCCTGCCCCGCCCCTTTGTCCACGGGCTGCTATGTTTATTCAAGGGGTGCTTAATGCCCGTTCAGTCTCTGCCGTCAGTCTCTGGGCCCAGCTCGTGCCAGGAGGCTGTGCTGGCACACACTGGGCTGATGCTGCTGGCTGGCACAGTGCTCAGGGGGCCCTTGGTGGGGGCCGGACCTCCCCGCAGAAACTGCAGGTTCTCTTTTGTTAGTATGGGGGCCGTGCCATGGAGAGGCAGTAGCCTTTAGGGGAACAGTGGGTCCCAGCTGCAGGTCTGGGGATGGTGGGAATGGGCCTGGGACTCGGCTTTCATTTACTGGAGACGATTCTCCACTCAGGTCTTTATTGCACTAACGCGGGACGGGGCCCTGGGGGTTTAGGAAGCAGGTCTCTAGCTGCTGGGTTCTTCCTGGAGGTGGGGCTAGAGAGCAGAATGGAAAGGGGCTTCCTGAGCTGCTGGGGTGCAAGGAGCCCCGAACCCACATTTCTTGAGTGTGTGCAAACACTCGAAGCGGGAGCCAGCACCCCTCCCTCTGCATGCCCGGTCCCCAGCCCACCATGCCCCCTGAGCCACCTTCACCCACACCCTTTCTTTCCGCCCTTCCTTCCTCACTGAAGAAGGGCTGGGAAGACCCCAGCCAGGCTGCAGGTCCGGCTGCGGACGCTCAGCTCAGCTCCGGTCTGGTCCCCAGCCTCTTTCCTTCTGTCGGAGCACAGGCCCCAGGCATCCTTCCCCGGGCCCTGGTCCTCTTCTGTCCCCCAGCCCTGCCCTGGCGTGGACAGCCACCCACTCCTTCCAGCAATAAGCACTGTCCGTGGAGAGTACTGTGAAACAAACCAATGCACTTCCCAGGAGGCACAAGACTCTTGAAGAAAATGTAAAATGAACCTTTTTTAAAAAAAAAAAAAAAAACAAATATTCATAAAGAGAAATAAAATGTAATTTTAAAGTAGGCTTGGCTAGGTCCTGGGTGTTTCCGAAGCGACGCTTCACTCTAGAGTTGGTGGCTCAGTGCTGGCTGCGGGGGTGAATGTATTTGGGGGGGCAGGAAGATAGGCTGAGACTGGGGTCCCTGTGCTCAGGGCTGGGAGATGGGAGGAGGGAGCCAGTCTTTGAGGCCTGCACCTTCCAGCTGCTTCTGTTCACAGCCCTAGCTCCAGTGAGAGCAGCCCTGCAGCCTCAGCCTTGTACCGAAAAGCTTCCCTGCCAGTGTCCTGCCTGGAGGGTGGTGGGCCTGGAGGTAGAGCTAGGAATTGGGGGCAGCTTGGCTTTTTGACAAACAGTAAAACCCCTACATCAAGGGCGATTAATGTTTAGGTTGACCCTTAACTTGGGCCTGCAAAGCTGTCTTCCTGTGGCCTAGCTGGACAGTGTCAGTCTAAACAGGGGCTCTGTGCCCTGCCCTCGGCCAGCAGCTAATGACGGGTCCCATGGGGCCCCAGCCTTGAATGGATACCATCTTATAACTGGAGCTTTTTTGTGTAAGCATGGGTGGGCGCCCCGGAGGTCCTGGAGTGGCTGTGGACTCTGAAGGCAGACCACAAGTTCAAGGCCATTTATGTGGGCTTGAGCATGACACTCAGCCCCTCTGAACCTTATTTACCTTGTACGGAAAATGGAGATTTGGCCAGGTGTGGTAGCCCACACCTGTAGTCTCAGCACTTTCAGAGGCCCACGCGGCGATCACTTGAGGTCAGGAGTTCGATACCAGCCTGGCCAACATGGCGAAACCCCATGTCTACTAAAAATACAAAAAATTAGCCGGGCGTGGTGGTGGGTGCCTGTAGTCTCAGCTACTCGGGAGGCTGAGTCAGGAGAATTGCTGGAACCCAGGAGATGGAGGCTGCAGTGAGCCAAGATTACACCGCTGCACCCCAGCCTGGGTGACAGTGAGACCCTGTCTCAAAAGAAAAAAGAAAATGGAGATTTCCAGCTTCCTCCTGGCGGATTCCGTGGAAATTCCCTGTTCCACTCTGTTTCCTGGTGCGAACTCATTGAATCCTCATGACAACCCCACAAGGGAGGTGTTATTGCCGCCCCCATTTCACAGAGGAAGGAACGGGGAAAGTGGACGCCAGGAGCTGCCTGAGACCACACAGCTAGCACAAGCCAGAGCCAGGATTCGAACTCTGGCCACAGAGCCACCTCTCGCCGTGGTGCACTCTCAGCCTTGAGCCTGAGACTGTGGGGCCGTGTGCAGTGTCCAGTAACATTGGTGACTGTTACTGAGAAGGTCCCATGCCTCTGCTCCCCCATCCTGGGAGCCCCAGACAGGAAGCCCACCCCCCTCCCTGCCCCGGAAGTCTCGGGGCCGTCAGTTCTTTCTGGTCCACAGTGAGCCCATCTCATTCCCTTTGAGGAGGGGCCGGGTGGTCAGCTGCACCTACTGCACACAGGCTCATCTTCCAGGGTGGGTAGTGGCTTCTCTGCACCACCATGGGCAAGGGAGGCCCCACGCACCTGGGCATCAGAATTCGGTTCTTCTGTGCTTCTCCACGTTGCAGCAAACCAACGGCACTCGCCTCCTGCCTCCTGGGGCTGAGACACCAAAGCAGGAAATTGCATAACAGGCACTGCTGGCTGCGCTCCACGCAGATGGCTTCTGGGTGGTGCAGTTCAGTCGTGGTTTGGCTTCTTTGCGTGAAGTCGGCTCCTGAGCTCTGCCCATGAGAGACCATGTGTGTGTGTGTGGGGGGGGGTGTGTATGTGTAGAGAAAGGGGTGCAGGCCTAACCTGACCGCCCGGCGTCAGCTCGGGAGCTCAGAAGAGCAAAGCATTCACGCAGAGGCTCAGTGAGATGGGAGGTGCAGCCCGAGCCCGTAGTTAACAGTTTTGAGAGGGAAATGCACAAGGAGGGCGGTTGTGAGTGAAGTGGATTCCAAGTGGCATTTAGTCACATCGTGGAAGCCCTCCAGCCTCTCCAGCTGACAGCAGGTAAAATTTAGAAGTCCAGACTGGGAGGAGAGGCAAAGACAGTAGACGCTGCCCAGCTGTCACGGGTTCCTCTCCAGGGTCCGGGCCTGGGAGAGCCGGCTGTCTGGGCCGGGTCAGGCCCACCTGCCCGAGACATCGAGGGTCTGGGAGAAGCAGCTGCACAGCAGCCCTGCACACCTCCACCTCCCACCTTCGAAGTCACTTCTCAGGAGAGCGCCTTCTGCTCTGGGCTGTTTTTTTTTAAGATGGAGTTTTGCTCTTTTTTTTTTTTTTTAATTTATCACTGGCTCTCATAGAGAGATTTTTAATTTTATTTTATTGATTTTTTTTAGGGGGGGAAGAAAGAAAAAGAGAAAGCAAGAAAAAAAGAATGAAAGAGAAAGAAAGAGGAAGAGAAGGAGGGAGAACGGGAGTCTTGCTTTATTGCCCAGGCTAGAATGCAGCCTACAAAATGTATGTTCTGTGGACCTGGGGTGAAGAATTCTATAAACATTCACTGAGTTTACTTGTTCCAGGTCTGAGTTCAAATCATAGATGTCCCTGTTAATTTTCTATCTCATTGATCCGTCGAATATTAACAATGTGGTGCCAAAGTCTCCCGCTATTATTGTGCGGGAGTCCAAGTCTCTTTATAAGTCATTAAGAACTTGTCTTATGTATCTGGGTGTTCCCATATTGGGTGCGTATATATTTATGAGCATTGACTCCTGTTGTTGCATTGATTCTTTTACCATTCTGTAATGTCCTTCTTTGTTTCTTTTAGTCTTTGTTACTATTAAAGTCTATTTTGTCAGAGACGAAAGTTACAACTCCTGTTTTCTTTTTTTTCTTTCTTTTTTTTT